CCGGACACATTGATTATTGGCTCGATCAATGGTTTGATCTGGTCATTTTCAACAAGGACATCACAACAAAACCGAGGCTCAAGCACTAGCATAACATCACACAAAGATCATGCTCTTCTCTTCATAACTCTAGCTAATATTCAAACTGAATCTTAAACACCAAGTTCGGCCATTTTTAAGGAGAAAATATAAACACAAAATATAGATAGTTTGTCCATGTCCTCTTCAAAAATAGATTAATATAGTCTATGTTACTCATCCTTACCATACCTTTGGTCCCTATATGTTCTGAAAGAAGTCGGAAGCCTTTCTTGTTTTCCACGCATTGCTTTATAAACGCCAATAAGAAAATCAGGCCATAAAGCCGAAATCAATAAATCGAGACCTCTATTTGGGTCGGGGTCGAGAAGAATTAAGTTAGCGTTAAATCTCAAACCCCCGTTTACCCTGAAAGCATGTACTCGGCAGTTTCTAAACGCACGCAATAGGCGGGAGGCAGAAAAAAAAAACTAACTGTGTGCGAGAGTTCTGTCCAGAACCAAACAGCAAGTCTTGCAGAAATGTATCAGGAATCCAGAATCGTGGTTTCGCGGTAGCATGATGATTAATAGCACGTTCAAAATCACGTTTGACAATTGGATTAGAAATTCCACTGACGAACTCCTGTGTGTCGGCCAAATATTGAAGCCTCTTTTCGGAATCCCAAAAAAAAAAAGATGATTCAATATATATAAAGAAAAAGGGATTAGTCATTATTGACTTATAATAAAATAAAGAGCGTTACAAGGATAAGGATAATAAAACTCTAAAATTCCCCCTTGTCGGTAAGAATATGAAAAACCAAATGCTTGGCTTCCTCTTCAAAGATGGGCTGTCCACCGACTGCCAAGAAAGGTTCGTGGTTATATAATGGGAGTCCTCGTACAATAGCTTCTAAGCCAAGACACAATCGATTTGGAACAGCCTTAGGGCCTCCAAAGTATTTGGCGAAAGCATAAGCCAAATCTTGAATGTCGGATATTGTTTGTCGTCCAATTAAATGACATGATATTAGTTACTGCATAGGCGAAATTAATAACTAGTAATTTTACCTCTCACTGTCATCCCCAATGTCGAGTTGTAACAGACCTGTCTCTTAAGAGAAAACGAAGGTATAATATTTGCGTAAACCTGTATGCAAAAAAACCATTGCGGTGGATAAATATTACCCACTTTAAGATTTGTGTCAGCACATTGCGTGTCGACTGCAAGGCATTATTCTTTGATGTGGTGCTAAACACATAGTCTCTGAAATCATTTTCAGCTACAACTTGGAATGTAGTAACATTGGGATGAGGGCCAAGAGGCTCCATGGAGGTTTACACTATAGGGCTTAGGCATCACTTCAGAGTCGAATAAGGTTTACCTCTATACTTATTCGACTCTGAAGTGATGCCTAAGCCTTATAGTGTAAACCTCCATGGAGCCCCTTGACCCCCATTCAATGTTACTACCTTCCAAATTGTAGCTGAAAATGATTTCAGAGATTGTGTTTAGCATCACATCAAGGAATGATGCACTGCGGTCGACACGCAATGGGCTGACACAAATCTTAAAGGGGTCATATTTATCCACCACAGAGGTTTTTTGCATACAGGTTTACGCAAATATTATACCTTCGTTTTCTCTGAATTCAAAGACGGGTCTGTTACAACTCGACATTGGGGGTGACAGTGAGAGGTAAAATTACTAGTTATTAATTTTGGTTATGCAGTTAATTACCATGTCATTTAATCTGACGACAAACAATATCCGACGTTCAAGATTTGGCTTATGCTTTCGCCAAATACTTTAGAGGCCCTAGGGTTGTTCCAAATCGATTGTGTCTTGGCTTAGAAGCTATTGTACGAGGACTCCCATTATATAACCACGAACCTTTTTTGCCAGTCGGTGGACAGCCAATCTTTGAGGAGGGGCGAAGCATTTGGTTTTTCATATTCTTACTGATAAGTAAGGTGGGAATTTTAGAGTTTTTATTATCCCTGTTAAACGCTCTTTATTTTATTATAAGTCAATAATGACTTATCCCTTTTTTTTCATTAAATCCTGTAGCATATATTGAATCATCCTTTTTTTGGGATTCCAAAAAAGAGCTTCAATTTTTGGCCGACACTCAGGAGTTCGTCAGTGGAATTTCTAATCCAATTGTCAAACGTGATTTTGAACATGCTATTAATCATCATGCTAGTGCGAAACCACGGTTCTGGATTCAAGACTTGCTGTTTGGTTCTGGACAGAACTCTCGCACACAGTTGGTTTTTTCCGCCTCCCGCCTATTGCGTGCGTTTAGAAACTGCCGAGTACATGCTTTCAGGGTAAACGGGGGTTTGAGATTTAACGCTAACTTAATTCTTCTCGACCCCAACCCAAATAGAGGTCTCGATTTATTGATTTCGGCTTTGTGGCTTGATTTTCTTATTGGCGTTTATAAAGCAATGCGTGGAAAACAAGAACGGCTTCCGGCTTCTTTCAGAACATATACGGACCAAGGGTATGGTATGGATGAGTAATATAGATTACATTAATCTATTTTTAAAGGGCATGGACAAACTGTTTATATTTTGTCCTTAAAAATGCCGAACTTGGTGTTTAAGATTCAGTTTGAATATTAGCTAGAGTTATGAAGAGAAGAACTTTGTGTGATGTTATGCTAGTGCTTGAGCCTCGGTTTTGTTGTGATGTCCTTGTTGAAAATGAGTTATTAATGTGTTAGTTTCAGCCACTATGTATATTTTCATTTTCATGCCTTAGAGTCAAGAGGAGGAGAAAAAACATGAATTTGGTG